CAAGATGATAGTGGACACAGGACGCAGGGCACCTGCCGAGTTCAAGCCTGTGTGCACGCTGCCCAGRGAGCTTCCTTTGCTCCATTACCACTGCCTTAATCACAGAATCACAGAATGRTTGAGGTTGGAGGAGACCAGAGATCATSCAGTCCAACGCCCTGCTCCAGCAGGGACACCCAGAGCACGGGRCACAGGGCGGCATCCAGGCGGGTTGGGAAGATCTCCAGAGAAGGAGACTCCACAACCTCCCTGGGCAGCCTGCTGTGTAAGTGGTGAGCCTSTTGTGCACCTTAAGTGCAGTAACGTGAGCATGTATATTTTCAATCTAGCCCAGGTGCTGAGTATCTTCTCAGAAAGGTTGTGTGTGACATTACATCAACTTTGGCAATCTCCTTTCCATAAGGAAGTGTTTGATCAGCACCTCCCATCTTTCTCTCAGTTTATAGGGACTAACTGACATTTGCAAATTCTTAAGAGAAATTTCTTAGTTTCTCTCTTCTTTCTTAAGAGAAATTGGTACATATAGTTATATATGATACCATTCAATAACAAGTTATTCAGGCGTGCTGAACATTTTCTGCAGATGGGACTTTGAGCCATGGGGACTTCAGTTACTTATATTTTGCAGCCACCTGTGGGCACTATATTAATACAGGACAGCAGAGGATCTTGCAGCTGAAAGGCTGCATATTACCACCATTTTACAGCAGTCTGGATCCTTTCTCCTTTTTTTTTTTTTTTAGGATGAATTACTGCTCAGCTCTTTGCTCTCTATTGAAAACCTCCCATGCTGACTGCTTTTGTCTCGTCCCGTCGCCGCGTTTCTCGCACGTTTGCCTGCTGCTGGCTTCCACCTCCAGTGAGAAACAGATAACATTACATTTTGTTAGCCCAGAGCCAGGTTTTTGTGCCCGTGCTTAACGCCAGAGCAGCATAAACAAACTACAAGTGTTTGTTCCTCTTTAATGAAGGGCCTTGCACTTCATTACAGCACTTACTCTTTTGAGTAAACATCCGTTCCCACCGGCATCCAGCAGAGTCTGGCCTAAAACATCAAAAGAAGCGAAATGAAAGGATTTTTCCCCCTCTCGGAGAGGAGCCGCTGGAACGTTCTCCCGTGGGATTCGGTGGCCGAGTGCGCGCTCTGCACAAGGGCTTGTGTGCCCGGCCGGGGCGGTGCTCATCCAGGCTCCTGCCTGGGGTTTGGGGCTTGTTTAGCTTCCTTGGGTGAGGCTCTTGCTGGTGACCAGGCTGATAAATGATTAAGACATCATCATCTCCCACCACAGTGGTTCTTCACCCCGTTTCCTTCGGGAAAGGGCTCGTTTGAGCCCTGCTGCTGCTCGAGGTGAGTGGCGTGTGGGCTGCTCTGGAGGCTGCTCTCAGTTTAGGGAGGCTGGGGGCCAAGACCCAAATGATCAGGACTTTGGGGAGGAGCAGGTCGTGGCCCTCGGCACTGTCTGCTTGTAGGGACTGCCTGTCCACGTTGAGGGCTTGTAGATCCTGCTCTGAGTCACTCTGTAGGAACCTTGATCTTCCAAGGTCTTCCTTGGTCTTCTTAGCCAGGTTAAGCAAGATGTTAAGCACAGGTAGCTCAAGCTTTAAGGCATTTAGCTTTAAGGTAGCTTAAGCTTAAGGCATTTAGCTCAAGCTCAAGCTAAACCCATGAAACCTATCCAAAAACCAATTCAGGTTTGGGATGTGTGTGATTTATGTCCAGGGGATGATTAGCAAGAGCTGCCTTCTGGTTCAGTGCCCAGTGCGAGCTAAGGTGAGAGTGTGCCAAGAGCTGATCTCACGGTGAGGAAGAACGTGCATGATGACTGGAAGGCAACAGGTGAAACCTGGCAGCTTAGCCAGAAGCTTGGTCATCAGAAATGTGGCCTGACCTAATGCAGGAAAAGAGAAAAAAAAATAAGGCTATGTTGGTGTCCCAAAGCAGGAGGCAGGTCGGGTGCCCCAGGCATCCTGCACACTGGCCCTCCCCAATGTGATTCACGGCCTCTGCTTTCACCGAGGCGGGGTCCCACTTACTTTGGTCTCTCTGGGAGCGTTCCTGCTTTGGGCTCTTGCTGCAAGAGCAGGCTCTTGCTCTGCTCACAGCTGGCCATCACGGGAGGTTGAATGAGCTCTCTTCATTGAGTTTTGAGCAGCTTTGACCAGGTGGATTTTAGTTTACGCAGTGTCAGAAGACTGTTTATAGTCTGTCCCTGCTTTCTAACACTTTGAGGGCAGCCCATCACTGAGGCTGGAAGGAAAAAAGACTTCTCCATCACTGCCAAGACTGGAGGATCCATAGTAAGAGCAGGGCAGCAAAGCTTGTGCTCACTCGCTACAGATTTGCAGTTCAGTGGTATGTATTAGTGACTTTGATGGGACAGTTTGGCCCTTACTGTGGAAAAGAAAGACCAAAGACTGTGTAAACACCAAGCTACAGAAACTGAAAATGTGCCTGTGCTGACGCTTTAGGAGCTGATAATCCCAAATGACATGTTTGTCCCAGTTCTTCTGAAGACCAGCACGGAGAGGGGGTGCAAATGTATGTGGGAAGGAAGGAGGTAAGTTAAGAGAAGCTTAAGGGAAGTCTTTTGGAGCAGGGTGAGAGCCGCAGGCTGGATACCATAGGTTGGGATGACTGGTGATCCTCCAGATCTCAGTATCCAGATGGCTCCGACCACAACCACAGCCGTTCCCATCTCCCAGGGGGATGGCTCAGGGAGAGCTGAGGTGCTTCCCAGTCCCACAGGGCTTTGGGGAGAGGGGCTTTTGCGAGCCCTTGGGAGCACAGTTTGCTTCCAGGCTACGTGCTCTCCTGCCTGCTGTCGATCACAGCCTCAGCACAGGATGAAAGGTGACTGGAAAGCCAACCAGTTGCGTGCTGGCAAGCAGGGACAGGAGCTGCCCTTGGAAGGAAGGGCCAGGAAAAAAGGGAGAGGAGCATCATGCTGAAAGGCTGCAAAAACACTCAAGAGCCAGCTTATAACCAGCTTCGTACTTGCAAAGTTGTTTGCTACCACAATATGAAATAAACTTTTGTTTTTTCCCCCAGAGCTTTATGTGGTGAAAATATAGACTGGTACTTAGTGGAGTGGGGAGGGGAAAATCAAGCAGCCAGGTCAAAAGGCAGAGATCATTTTGCTCTGYAGCTCATGTAAATACAGCAACTGGGTCGCACGGAAGCAGAGCAGAGCTTTTATGTCTTGCAGCCTGTTTTCTCCTAAAATCCACCGCCCAGCCCTGGGTTCAGGAGGGCGCTGTGACTCTGAGCTCTCCTCCTCCGCTTTGGAGCCATGACCGCATCTCGTGTCGCTGTCCCTGGGGTAGCAGTGACATGGGAAGGGCTGCAGCCTGCCCAGCCTGCAGCACGGAGGCCATCCTGCCTCTCCTGGCCGCTGCTTCCACACGCTGCGCTGCTGCTGGAAGTCATTGAGCTAAACTGCTTCCTCTCAACTCAACTCAACTCAACTCAACTCAACTCAACTCAACTGCAGCTCCTTGCTCTCCATTGACTCATCTCCACGGGGAGCTCTAAATGGTGCCCACAGGACCCCACATAGCCTGAAAAATCCCTGTTCACCTTGGTATCGCAGGAAGCATCAAGGCAAACACAGCTCCACTCTCTGCTGGAGTAAGTTGAGTTGTTACCCTAAAAAGAAGCAAGGAGCACCCATGCGGTGCGTGGTCACCTCCACCGACCAAACCCTCCTCCTCCTCAGCAGTTCTGTGTGCTCTGCACATGGGGAGGGCTCCTTGTTTCTGTAGTGCAGCCGGTGCTGCAGTCGCTGCAGTGTTTTTTCAGGGGAGCTAAATGCTGAGAAAATGAACAGTCCACCTTTTTGACTTCTCCGTGGTAACCTGCTTAATTTGGATTGCTCAGGTTTTGCAGTCTTTTTTTTTTCTTTAGGAACAGAAATAGAGGAAATATTTTGTCATTGCTCGTATGGTTCATAAGTTGGTGTATCCCTATAAGAGCTTTAATGATTATTTACATTGCAGTATAAACCATGCAGCTTCTGAGAAGATGGATGAAGCGTATTTCCCAAGCCTGAAATTTGTCATCTGCCTGTGGCACTGTTCTTTCTTTTCCAGCCCTTCTTGTCACTTCTTTCCAGCTCTTAAGTCAGTTCCGACAGGTAGTTTCAAAAAGGCAGGTCCTTGGCATCCCTAGGGACTGTCCTGATGCGTGAGAGCTGCTCCTTGTTCCCTATAAATGGGGCTTCCTCTCGTCTGGGTGATCCTGGGGACAGGATTGTGACTTGCCTTTACAACTCGTTGCCTGCAGGATCAGCCACATCAGAAACCTCAGCGTTCAAAGCCTTTCAGCCCAAGCGTTGGAGGCCACAGGAGAAGGGCTGTGAGCAGGCCRGCGTGAGGCTTCACATGCTGTCTGTGTCAGCCCTAGCATCTTCTGGGAGCCTTCTTGCTTTTTAAGCAGAAGCAACTGTACAATTATGTATATCACAGAATCACAGAATGGCTGAGGTTGGMAGGGACYTCTAGAGACCATCCAGTCCAACCCCCTGCTCCAGCAGGGACACCCAGAGCACRGGGCACAGGGCGGCATCCAGGCGGGTTGGGAAGGTCTCCAGAGAAGGAGACTCCACAGCCTCCCTGGGCAGCCTGTGCCAGGGCTCTGGCACCCTCACAGGAAAGAAGTTCCTCCTCACATGGAGATGGAACTGCCTGGGTTTCAACTTATACCCAGTGCCCCTTGTCCTATCACTGGCCACCAATGAGAAGAGCTTGGCCCCTTCCTCCCTACATTCCCCCTTCAGGTACTTATACCTGTTGATCAGATCCCCTCTCAGCCTTCTCTTCTCCAAGCTGAACAGGCCCAACTCAGTCTCTCCTCATATGAGAGATGCTCCAGTCCCTTAACCATCTTTGTCACTCTATCATCTGTRTCATATATGATAATATGGAAAAGTCTGACCTCGGATGGCACYGTTAGCAATGGCAAAGCCCTGTGTTTTCACACAGTGATTCTTTCTTTGTTACAGATTGACGTCCTCAAGGCAGATGTGGAGAGCGCCGAGTGGAAGATTTTGGAAAACCTCATTCTGGAAGACGTCGTTGGGCAGATAGGCCAGCTGGTGGTCGAGGTGCACGTGCACTGGCCCGGCTTCGAGGTGAGCGGCAACGACAGYGCCGTGGTGCGCTACTGGTACAGCCTGCTCCGGGAGCTGGAGCTGAAGGACTTCAGGCTGTTCCACACCTACAAAGACCTAGCAAAACCACAGATGTTCCTGAAGAAGGAGGCCTTCAATGCCAGCAGCAGCTACACACTGAGCTGGGTAAATACCGCTTGGAAGTAGCAGAAAGGATTTGGTATGGATTTTATAGGATATGGCGTGTGGCTGTGCGCCGTCGGGCCCCGCAGCGTTACTGAAGAGCGCTTGGGATTCACTGGCTAACGTTGCTAAAGACGCAGAGATTGGGAGCAAAACGGACTGGCTTTTATTCTCAAGCGTTCTCAAAGGAGCAGGCGTTGGGAAAGGACACACGCTGCAAATGGCTTTGCCAAGCAAYGCGTGCGCTGGAGGTTGGGCAAAGGTCTGCGTGGGGCTGCCCTGTGCCCGCGCGTTCCCTCGCGTCGCCCCGAGCAGAGATCCCCTCGCTCTGCCCCAGAGCTCTGCCCTGCCACCCACACCTGCCCCCGGGCAGCATGTGCGGGCATCTGGCTTTAGAAATGCTCAGGAATAAGCTCCTTTTTCGGGAATGGTCAAGAGATGCCTTTCCGTAAAGTGATCACGCTTTGGTTGCACTATCTTTCCGTAGACTCCGCTTCCTTACAAGGGAAGAACCAATTTCCTTGCTTCCTTTGTAAGAACAAATCCTATRGGGTAGGAACGGTCTGTTAGGCCAGGGAGCGGGGAGGCCGGGCTTGCAGTGATGGGGAGTCTTGCAGGGCTGCCCTGGGAACAGCTGCCCTGGGCCAGGCTGCCCTTGGGAACGCCGGGAAGCCACATCCCGCTGTCCCTGGGCTGCCGGCCCCTCCGTGGGTGCTGCAAGGGAGGACACAAACCCAGGGGCTTACCGGGCCGGAGCAGCTGGGGAARGGGGGGATGAAAAGCACATAGCAGGATCTTTTTGATGTTTTTTATAGAGTTTTGCATTAAACCAGGTCACACCGTTCCCACGATGCCTGCGCTTGGTTTCTGCCCTTGGTTTCCGTGTGGCACCCGGGCAGGCAGAGAGCTCTCYGCGCAGCCGGAGCTGCTCCAGCCCCGGGCCTCCCCTCTCCCTCCCRGCGGATGCTCCTGCTGAGGCCACAGTCCCTCCGCTCCCTCCCCTGCTCCGAGGGCACCGGGAGGAGCCGCCCCGGCCCCGCTTCCCGCTGGGAGCCGCGCAGCTCTGCGGAGCCCGGGCCGCTCCAGCGGGGCAGAGCGGGAGCTGCCCCACCGGCCACACAGGCCCMGACCTCGGAGCAAGACCCCCCGTCCTCTCGCCCTCGGGTCCCGTCAGCCCCCGAATCCGCTGGCAAGTTCAGCTCGTGGTGATGCCCCGTGTCCCTGCGGAGCTGGGGCTGCACTGGGGCATCTCCAGAGGCCGCTGCCAACCCCTCGCGTCCTGCGAGTCTGTGAGATGTTCAGCGCTTCCTTGTTTGTGCTCTCTGGTTTCCAGCCCGCTGCCTTCCAGTGACGCTGACAGTGCCTTGTCCTGCTGCCTAAAGCCTGATTTACTGCCCCTCTGATCCCATTTTTATCTCATAGAATCACAGGATGGTTGAGGTTGGCAGGGACCTCTAGAGACCATCCAGTCCAACCCCCTGCTCCAGCAGGGACACCCAGAGCACGGGGCACAGGGCGGCATCCAGGCGGGTTGGGAAGGTCTCCAGAGAAGGAGACTCCACAGCCTCCCTGGGCAGCCTGTGCCAGGGCTCTGGCACCCTCACAGGGAAGAGGAGCCTCCTCACATGGAGATGGAACTGCCTGGGTTTCAGCTTGCACCCATTGCCCCTTGCTCTGTCACTGGCCGCTGGTCATCTCCTTTGGGAACAAGGACCTACTCCAGTTCCGCAGCCTGTGCTGAAGGGGGATCTACCTCTAAGGGCACTTGCTGCCTTTTAACTGTCCGGGTGAGGGGGAAGGGGCCGGCCGGCCAGGCTGGGCCTGCCAAGGGCTGGTGGCAGTGGCTGCTCCCGCAGGCCCTGGGAACAGCCACGGGATTTTGCCAAAAAACAAAAAATAAAAAGGAGGGCAAAACCCATGTGCAAGCCTTGATTTATTAATAGAGCATAAAAATTAAGAGTCTTTAGCGCTGCATGGGCTTTTGCTCTTCAGTAGCCTTCTAATAACTGCTGTAACTTACTGTCATTCGCTTCACGCTGGTACTTTATGAAGTAGTTGGAGGTTGAAAAGCAAATGACGTGCTCCCTTTTGGGGGCTGAAATTCCAAAGGGAGGCGGGTGTCTCGGCATTCATTGCCCTCAGGAAGAAAGCAGCGGAGTCTGTGCTAACCACAGCAGTGGGCTGAAGCTCTGGCCTGTCTCTTCCTTGCCTGAGACTTGGGTCTGGGCTGGCGCTGAGCTCATCTCTCGCTCACATCGGCCAAGTAGCGTCAGCAGCAATTTAGGCCACGGTGGATACGGCTGCTGCAAGGGAAGATTYCAATAAATATGGTAATTTTTAAAGAAACCTTATCTAGGATACAGCCTAGATAAAAGCCATTTGTCATTTTGGAGGCAGTTACGTGATCTTATGGGAGAAAATGAGCAGCTCTTCTTACTCTGTGCACTCGCTGCTCCTYCCTATCTCAAGCGTATTAAAGGGGAGCTATAACCTTCCTCTCCAAGAACCTGCCTTTGTGTCCCAACTTCAGCCTGCCAACTTCACAGAGTCACAGGATGGCTGAGGTTGGCAGGGACCTCTAGAGATCATCCAGTCCAACCCCCTGCTCCAGCAGGGACACCCAGAGCACGGGGCACAGGGCGGCATCCAGGYGGGTTGGGAAGATCTCCAGRGAAGGAGACTCCACAGCCTCCCTGGGCAGCCTGTGCCAGGGCTCTGGCACCCTCACAGGGAAGAAGTTCCTCCTCACATGGAGAKGGAACTGCCTGGGTTTCARCTTACAYCCATTGCCCCTTGTCCTGYCACTGGCCACCACTGAGAAGAGCTTGGCCCCTTCCTCCCTACATTCTTCCCTCAGGTATTTGTACATATTTTTCAGATCTCCTCACAGTTTTCTCTTCTCCAGACTAAACAGGCCCAGCTCACTCAGTCTCTCCTCAAACAAGAGATGCTCCAGTCCCTTARTCATCTTGGTTGCCCTCCACCGGTTGCCTTGACTTGCCCTCTTTCACTTAACAGAGCCAATCTTCAGTGCAGCCAGGCCCCATCCTTCCCACCCCTCGATGCCCGGGCTGTATTTAGCAGCACTGTGTTTGCCGCCAGGCGGCCTGTGGGGCGGGCGCTGCCCCAAGGCCCTCGTGTCTCSCTGCCCCCTAGGCGCCCCCTAAGCCGCAGCCCGGCGAGCAGCGACGGGGCAGCCGGTCGGGCCGGGTGTCCATGGGCCGACCTGCAGCTTGGCCTCGGCCCTGCCCCACGGCGYGTTCGGGGGGTGCCGAGCGCCGGCGGCTCCTCCGAGCGCCTCAGGGAGCTGCCRCTGCTGGGGGCTGCACAACCCAGGTGCTCTTGGCCAGCAGTGGGGTAAAAATGGGGCACAGAGGCACGGTTTGATCCCCCAAACCAAGGCTGCTAAGACCTGGCACTGCAACACCGGCCTCCCCCCAGGCACCCACTGCAGCACCCAGGGGGACGTGTCCTAACTCAGGAGGCTAACGCCGTTCTCCAGAGAAGGCGAGCTCTTCTCTGAGCGCCAGGTTGGCTTCTTTGGAGGTCTCAAAAATTGACCAAACAAGAGCCAGAAAAGGCTYGTGCCTTTCTGACTTCTTGTGCCGCTCCCAAACCTCAAGTTTATTGCGGGCACCTGGGCTCCCCAGTACAGGAGGGATGTGGAGCTGCTGGAGAGAGTCCAGCGCAGGGCTACCAGGATGATCAGGGGCCTGGAACATCTGCCCTGTGAGCAAAGGCTGAGAGAGCTGGGCCTGTTCAGCCTGGAGAAGAGGAGGCTGAGGGGGGACCTGATCAGTGTCTATAAATACCTCAAGGGAGGCAGTGAGGAGGAGGGGGCGGCCTCTTTTCAGTGGTGGACAGCGACAGGACTAGAGGAAACGGCCACAAGCTGAGGCACCAAAAGTTCCACAGGAACTTAAGGAAACACTTCTTGACAGTGAGGGTGCCAGAGCCCCGGAACAGGCTGCCCAGGGAGGCTGTGGAGTCTCCTTCTCTGGAGATCTTTAAAACCCGCTTGGATGCCGCCCTGTGCCCCGTGTCCCTGCAGAYGTCCCTGCTRGAGCAGGGGTTGGACTGGATGATCTCTAAAGGCCCCTTCCAGCCTTAAGGATTCTGTGATTCTAATTACGGGCCTGGTCTTTGATCACATCTGTGAATGGTGGCAGGTTGTTCCTCACTTAGCAGGCGAGGAACCCTCAATGTGTGAAAAAAAAAAAAAAAAAAAAAAAAAAAAAAAAAAAAGAAAGGAAAAGAAAAAGGCACATGCCTGGCTTTTCTTGGCGGGTGCCAACAAGACGTAACACCTAGTAGCACACCTGGAGAGAAAGCACTCGCTCTCGCTGGTGATTTATTCAACAGCTGAGACCCTCTGGTTTGTTCTAAAGCTTTGATTTCGTGAGCTTSATTAGATACTCCCGTGCCCTTGAAAGGATCCTCGGAGTTTCTTAGTGGGAAACCACTCCTGAGTTATTCCCGCTTGTTAGGACGATGTGACTTTTAATTGCAGTCAGTATAAGCCTCTTCTGGGGATGGTGAACATTCAACGCTCTCCTACATTTGGAGACATTCTTGTGGCTCTCGCTGTCCACTCACTTCCATGGAAAGCATGGGAAAAATAACTCCCGAGCKCAACCCAGGTTCATAAACCTATTTCCTTCCTTAGACAGTTCCTGTTGATAGGAGCAATCAAACCTGCTCTTTTCGGGGGATTAGCAGCACACACACTTATTTTTCAGCAGTTTCCTGAAATAAAGGTACATGCTACACACTGTACGAGCCTTCAAAAATAGTTAAAATGACCCTGGGAAGGCTGGAACAAAGAGTTGTGAACCTTAGAAAATGTTACCCCGTAATATTACCCAATTTCTTTTTCAAAATTGGAAGGAATATGACAAAAACAGTGTCTGCAACCCAAGCTCACTAGTACTCAGTAAGGATCAAGGGGGAGAAAGAGAGGAGTTTGCTACAGAGAAATTGTCCCAGCAAAACCCAGTATGAACTGGAAAACTTGGGGAATGGAATGTGCTTATTTTTACTGGAGATGGTTTGCCTGGCAAGTGACTTCATTCAGAGAGCAACTTCCTTCTTCATGCCCTGAGCAAACAGCATTTGGAAAGGATCATGTTTTACAGAGTATAGCTGGAGGAGCCAAAGGAAAAATACTGGATAAGGATGCAGAAGCCCCATGGAAAGTTCTCGAAAGCTAACTGGCCTGTGGTAGGAAATTTAAGCATAAGGAAATCACAGAGGTGTAAGCTGAGGCATGAAGCTGAGTGTCTCCTCGGACAGCTCATTGGTTTCACTCAAGCTCCTACGAGAGCTTGAGCCTGCTGAGGGACCCCTACCATGCAATGGAAGTGCTGGGCGGGAGGGATGGCCGGCCGGTCGCCRCCAGCCCGCGGAGCTTTCCCTTGGGATCGGCCCCTGGGAAGGGCCGCGGTGCCGCGCGAGCAGCTGCCTGCTGTTAAACTCCAGCTTTCTACAAGCCGAGCTCCAATTTCTGGACATATTGTAATTTAGGTTCCTCCTAATGAAGGCAAAGCCTGAGCCACCCCACCTTTCCAGGGACCCTTGTAAGCTCTGCACAGAACAGCCACCAAGAGCATCTGCTTCAGGAAAGGGTTTCTCACCAGGCAGCTGCATGAGGATATGTGGGATATCCCCCTCCCGCTCTCCCTCCCCCATGAGAAAAAGTCCAGGGAAAAGAGGGCACAAGGCCAGAAGAGCYATCCGGTTTCCAAGGAAGGACTCCCAAGACTGACAGAGGTGGCTCACTTAAAATCCCTGCTGCAAACGTAACGGGAGCGAATGGAAGCGTCAGCAAGCTGCCACCTCATCCAGGAGAGCCRCAGACACGGGATCCAAGGGAATTACCATGCATTCCCTGTGTCCCTCGCGCCACGCTTGCCGCCGGCCCCAGCCTCTCTCCATCCGCAGCTCCGGCCTCGCGTTTTCCCCCTCGGGCTGGAGGAGCTGGGCTAACTCAGGCCAAGCTGCTGCCCGCTCCCCAGAGCAGCTTTTCCCTGGCTCGCTCCGCTCCCTCTCCGAGCCGGGCCCAGAGGCCTCCGTCTAGATTGCTCGGAGCAGCGTTTGCCAGGGACCAATTTCTAGTGAAGCCCAAAACTGGGACGGTGAGGGAAGGAGGTGCCGAGGGCTAACGAGAGCTAATGAGCCCCCAAAGAAATCTGTGCCCAGGGGGTTGCTCGAAAGGCAAGTCCGGCCCCAGGCCCCGCCACACTCACCCCGTCCATCCTCCTTGAGAGCCAGGGCTTTGGAGGCCCGACTTCAAAGCTGGCAAAGGGGAATTCGGCTCTCAGCAATTCCCCCCGCCGGCTCCTGTGCAGATGTGAGGAATTCCAGAAGGGATTAAGGCAGCAGCGGGGGGGCAAGGAGCTGCCTGCAAGTTTCCAGGGGAATGCTGAGTCGGGGCTCTCTGCAAACATTTAAGCTGAATTCATGAGCTCCAGCAGACGTTTTTGAGTCAACATTTCTTATTTCTCTTCCTCTCAGCATTAGACTGTTAGTCTAYTGCTGCATTAATATATGGGGGAAATAAGTTCCACTTAATTAAAGACATATAGGACATAGTTCCATTTATGGTGCCAAACAGTCTGTGCCACTACAATTTAAATGCTTTTAAACATTTAGAAAGAAAAAAAGAGATGCTTCAAGATATAGAAACTAATATAGAAGATCCCTATAATTTTTTTTTAATTTTTGAATCTGCTCTAATTCCCCTTCTCCTCCCCAATTCCCTATACTGAAACGCTGTTAATCCTATCTAATTAGGAAATGCATTTGAAGAGAAAAACATTCCAAATTTTTTCAGCCCACTACCTCCTTACACAGCACGCAGACAGACAACATTACCTAGACGGGAAAGTAAAGGGAAATAAATGGAAATTTGGTGTAGGTAGGTGATGGAATGAGCGATGGATCGAAAGAATGTGAGCTATTGGTTTAAAGTGCATAAATTTCTGGGTCACTTATACATGCCTAACGCATGCATGCGCTCATGAAAGAATAAATTAACTTGTTAATCAGACCTCCAAAAGGTGTGTATATAATATATATATATAAATATAATAAATATAAGTGTATATATATATTTTATATCTATATGTATATAGATATTTTAAAGAGGGGTTATGTCTATCTGTTACCACAATTTTACTATCAAAGTGCCCTGTCTTCCACCCTAGTGCTCATTTTGGCCATTACTCCTTTGCCATCAATTTTAACTAAGAAACAGTGACTGGATTTTTAGTAAACARCAATATAGTGCAATTCAGAACTCTGATTAAAGACTGAAGTTGTTGCATTTCTTCTTTATTTCCAGCATGGGCTCAGAATAAGAACAGCTACTAAGTTTAAAAGACTTTTTCCTGCTTCCAACTTGCATTGGAACAGTGCATTGGAACAGTGCAAGAAAATGAGTTTATCTGAACTCTGGTACAACTGGAAATTAGAAGGCCAAATGATACGAAATGTTTTATGTGGACAGTGCCAGAGGGAAGAATTCAGTAAAGATAAGTAGTCTTTTTATAAAAAGATTTATTAAAAATAAGTTCTTTAAGGAGAAAAAGTGACATCTATATACATAACTTGTTGAAGTCTATGGGGCTTATAACACAGTGTATTCCAGACTGAACAAGAGAGATTCCCTTTGTTGTTTTCCCTTCAAAATACTCGTTGTGCTTATTAGAACGTGCCAGGATGTGGGAAGAGCAGAATGTCACCACCCAGGCCAAGAGCACCCTCCATGTGCTGCATGCACCCTCCATGCAGCTGCAAAGAGGAGCGCTGGTGATGAGCAAGAATTAAATCTAAATACAGACAAAAGCCGACGTTGGGAGCGCAGCCTGCAGCGCACACAGCTTCACGGAAGGCTACGCAAGCTTCTCGTGACTTCTTCATTTCTACACTGGATTAGCAGATCTTAGTGGCTTTCTGTTCTCTAAAGTTAGAGGAATTTGGGGGAACCACAAAATACTGCCAAAAAAGCACGTRAACAAATGCATCTTTTCCAGCTCCGTTGCTAGCTGTCAAAGATTTGTCCTTTGAATTACAGCAAGTAATTTTACGGCTGCTGGTTTTCTCCTTGAACTCTACACAACATCTGACACCCAAAAGCACAAAAATATCTTTTTCCTTAAAATTACTTTATTTTACAAAAGTATTTTGCACAAAAAAAAAAAAAAAAAAGAGACACATGACAAACTAACACTTGGTGCTGCATGCGCCACTGACCTCTCACACCCAGAGGTCAGGTTTAGATCTATTATTTTTTCCAGTCCCTTTTCCTGCCACGGAGATCTCCCGTTTTGGGGAGGACATACCCAGCTAGCTGAGACCAGCTGCATGCCCAATGTCTAGCCATCCTCATGGCAGGAGTCACTCCAAWCTCAGATGCCAGCAAGACTTACAACTTGAGCCCTCTGCATCCTCCTCCTCCTCAGTCCCACAGTTTAATCAGGCCATCCCAGCCACACGTGATGACTTTGGACGTTTCGTGCGGGTGCCACACGGCACCAATGCAGACTTTATCGTGGGCCTTCACCCTGCTGTAGAGCTTGGTGGTCTTCCAGTCCCAGATGTTCAGTTTTCCGTCCGCATCTCCGGATATCACATAGCTGTATTCAAAGGGATCGGAGGAAAGGCTGTATCAAGTGCTCTTGTTCTCCCTGTATCCCGGGCATGGGAAAAACACTTCCCCTAGGGAGATTCCCATGGGGCTGCCCGAGGTCATTCCTGCCTGGGAATGAGCACGGTGCCGTGCTCGGAGCAGCTCCAGCCCCACACAAAGCGGTTCAGGGACCGCCCAAGCTAAGCAATGTGGCTGCTCCGAGCGCAGTTTAACTGGAACTGCATGGGAGAAAGTCATGGGAGTCAGGGAAAGAGGGCTGCCAGAAGCCCCTCTCACCCCTACACACACCTCACCCCTTCCTCCCGCTTTGCCGAGCTCATTCTCCCGTTTTCCAAGTAATGGAAGCCTCACGCAGCGGGAAAGCTGTACGGAAACCGCTACGGAGCGGGCAGCAGGGGCAGGACCCGGCGCTTGCGACCAACGAGGGTGCCCAGGAGAGGGGGCAGGTCTGGCCCACAGGCCCTCTGGGGGCTGCTGGACACAGCCCTGAGGCCCCCCCTGCCCCACATGAGAGACTGTGGGCGCTGCAGAGGTCTCAGAAGTGAACCCAGGGTTGAAGGCAGAGCTTGGCCTCGTGGGACTCACCTCATGTCAGGTGAAAAATCCACTTGGCAGGCGTAGCCAGCTACCATGTGGCCCTTGAAGATCTTCTTCTTGTTTAATCTGAATCTGTTCTGAGCGCCGAAAATCAGAATTTGGTTGTCCATCGACTGACAAGCCAGCCACTTCCCTAGAAGGGGCAACAAAGACAGGCATCAGAAAGCTGCATCTGAAGAAACAAGCCTCACTGTAAAGTTTTAAAGAGGCTCCAGAATCATCATTTTATTTTTTTCTTTAAATATTGAAGCTAGTTCTGTTGTTGTAAGTGAGATATTTACACTGGAAGGCAAACACAATTTGATACGAAGTTGTTAGCTGTGCGGCAGCTGTTCAGTCCCCGCAAGTGACAGTTTAATAGCACTGAAGCTATTTAATTGACACCAAAGCTATTTAATTTGGGCCAAACTGATAAGACAGATTTGGTCCTATTGGAAGGATTTATACTAATTATTGGAGGCAGTTTGATTCTGCTGAAAGCAACAAACACCAGAGAAGCATCAACATGCAGGGAGCACGGAGGTAACGCGGGGTTTATCTCAGGCCCACGGGCTGCGTTCACAACAAGGAGCAGCAGCTTTGGCAGGGCCATGTTCCACGTCAGGCTCTGCTTCAGCAGCAGCTTTGGCAGGACTGAGCTCAGCAGTTCCCACCATTGCTCCTCTCAAGCTTTTAAAAGCAGCTAAGAGTACATGGTAGCTCTGTGGAAAGGAAGAGTCATTTTTCCCTGCCCGCACCAAGGTCTAAATTCCAGCAGACACAGTCAGTTGTCCTGATATAACCCCTCATCTGACACACTCCTTCTTCTTAAAWCTTAAACCAGATCCTCTCCGCTCTTGGAATAAATACACAGGCTCATTAGCAGGATGGAGGGGTGGCAGCCGGGAGCTGCAGCGGGGAAACATTACAGACACAGAGGCAGCAAGAGATGCCTGTGGAAACTAGGTCTTAACCTACCGTTGGGAGACAAAGTCACGGCTGGCATCGAGTGCATGCTCGGCTCAGCTATGTACTTGAAGTCCACGGGAATATCCCTGCAAAAGGGAGAAGCGGGAGCTTTAGGCAGGCATGGAGAGGGTCCAGAGGGCTGTCTGAGGCAGCTTGTTTCCTCACGGAGATGCAGCAGAGGCTCCCACGGAGCAGCTCAGGATGTCGCAGGGAGCCATGGGGAGACCCCCAGCTCTAGGGCAGCCGCCCCCCTGCAACAGGTGGGCCTGCCCCACAGCAGCGGCCATGGACTAAAGCACTGCCCTAATTCCAGCTGTTGGACTGGGGCACGAAAACGCTCCTGTGCCTCCAGCCCGTCCGCAGCGCTGACACCATTCCCGTGTAGGGAGCAGGACTAAACTCATATACAGTCTTATTGACTTGTGCTTTACTTAGGCAACTTGTCTGCCCATCATCTTCTCTCTTTAAGGGCAACAAAACTAAATCAAACAATCCCCCCATAATTCTCACCTTCTTTTCTCCTTTAAGGTCTTTTTCCTCCTGATCTCTCCCAAACAGGCTGTCACCAACTTTGAAAGCTCATGGCTAAGCTGAACTCTGAGCTCACTAGGCTTGACTCAATACTGGTCTGCGACATCTTTTGCTGGCTTGCAAAACACACCCCTAAATTCCTCCGCACAATTGGAGCTGAGCAATTAGAGCAGCTTTAATTACTGGCTTTTAAGGCCGTACTGGGGTTGTAATTATTTYGAAGGCTGCTTTGTTTCTCTAGGATAGTGAAGAATATTGCACATTTAAACGTGTCAATAGGTACAATAACCAAAGTGACGAATTTCCAAACAAATTATTTTCCTTATAAAAATAACGATTAAAAAAGACTCAAGGCAGAACAAGGGAGCTCTGTCTTCAGTGCCCAGCAAGCCCGGAAAGTAATTTTTTTCGGTCAGAAGGAAAACTGCTCCTGGGACAACCAGGTTGCGATGTTCCYGTCCCAGAGCCTTTCTGCCTTTCCCGTTGCTCCTCACAGAGTGAGTAAATGGACTCATTTTGCTATGTATTTCAGCCCCAAACACAAAGCTCACAGAACAGGGGCGATGGGACACGGTGGAAAGGAGGGCACCGTGCGAGCAGGATCCTGCTGCTCGCCATGGAGGAGCCATCGCCTGCTGCYTGCGAGGGGGATGTCAATCCATGGGGCTGGGAACGAAGCACCCAGCCAAGGGCTCCCTTGGGGACCCTTGATAGGACAGGGGGCAGTGGGTGTMAGTTGAAACCCAGGCAGTTCCATCTCCATGTGAGGAGGAACTTCTTCCCTGTGRGGGTGCCAGAGCCCTGGCACAGGCTGCCCAGGGAGGCTGTGGAGTCTCCTTCTCTGGAGATCTTCCCAACCCGCCTGGATGCCGCCCTGTGCCCCGTGCTCTGGGTGTCCCTGCTGGAGCAGGGSGTTGGACTGGATGGTCTCYRGAGGTCCCTGCCAACCTCAACCATCCTGTGCTGTGTGGGGCCAGCAGGGCAGGTCCCCAGTCCTGCACCGTTACCTCGGCAGKGACAGCAGCAGCTCTCAGGCACACGGAGGGTTTGCTGGCTGCTTGGGTAACGCTCAGACACCACAGATACCAGATTGGAGRCTCTTGTCTAGGTTAAGGAGGGGAAAAATCCCTGGGAAGGGACTCGTTAGTCACGGAGCTGTGAAACTAACATCCGTAACGCGCAAAAGCTTTTCATATGTGAAGGGCAAAATTAAATGAAAGCTTAAAAGATATGGGGCTGTTCTTTCAAAAAAAAGGGCAGAAAAACCTTAAATCCCAGATACTCACGGAAAAMAAAAGTTTCAGAAATAGAAGATTCTTGTTTTCTCCCCAAATRTGTTAAAATTGGAAGCTGTTTAAAATGGTGTTTCTTGCGAGTTCTTCTTGGGTAGACTCTCACTTTTCTGTCATCTATTGTTTCTACTGTGGGTATCAACAATATCTCAAAAGAAAACAACCCCAAAAATTCCAAAACACACACAAAAAACCACCCTACCAGAAAAGAAAAATGATGCTACTCTGAAATACTGGTCTAATCCTACAAAACACCACACGTATCCTAGTTGAGAGCATTGAAAACTACTAGTGCACACACGCCAGCATAACACAACCCAGATGGGGCTCTGAAAGGTGAATTTAAGGGCTAGCAGACCTGTGGGGAAAGGGGAGATAACAGAGCTCAATAATAGGCTGCTGGGTGCTTCAGGCTGACAGGGCTGTCTCTTACATCTTCCATAGAGGAAAAGGAAATGTATGGAGTCTCTTGGGCAAAGCCAAAGAAGGTTGGTTAGTCTTCAGCAACAAGATAGGAAGCAACTAGTTTTTAAAATTAAAATCTCCTGAGGAATGATTCTGGAAGAGATAGCAGCGAGATACCGATAAGTTGTTAATAATTAAGGTTAATAATAAATGCAGCCTGATGCCCATAAAAATTTACACCAATAAACCTGGGGCTACTTAAGGCATTTTACTTTGCATTCAGTGGAATTAAGTTTTTACAGACTTTAAGAGCAATTTTCAAATATTGCAACACAGTGGGGAAATAAGCCAGTGAAAATAATTCCTTGTTAGACAGTAAGACTTATTTCAAAGTGATTAAGAACTATTCTAATTAGACTTTGCAAGGGGCATCTCATTTTACTGGACAAAAATACTTCTAGAAACTAGGAACCATACTAGATCAAAACTTTTTTTTTTTTTTTTTTTTGAATATATGGCCAGCTTTAGCAACAAAAACATTGTTTTAGTTCCTCACTTGTGATTGTTCACTGTTCATTTGTGGAAGAATAATTCTACTGCAAATGAATGCAGTAGATTTGGAAAATTTAAATTCAGCTCTTCTTCAGCAAGCTAGAACTCAGTACTCCTCAGTTTCTTATGTGCTACATACACTTTTATATATAAACTGCTATTTTCCTCTCAGTTTTCTCATAATACGCTTTAACTCAAAATTCAAAATTTTAAACTTACCATTCCCAGACTCTTAAACTCTTGTCATCGGATGTGCTCACAAACCGTCTATTTTCATCCACGAACACAATGGTGTTGACAGCTCCCAAATGCCTGTCGTATTCCTGCACAATCTCACCACTCCGAATATCCCACTACAAGGGAAAAGCAGTTCAGAGCAAGACATTGGCTTTTCCTCAATCTCAGAATTATATTATTGCAAGTTTTAAAAGGATTGCTGGTGGGAATGCAACAATCTTTGTGAATCTACTAAAATAAATTTAAAAAAAAACATAAATAAATGATGGAGGAGAAGATTCTGTAACTTGCGGAGAAAATTCAAGTCATAGTGACAATTTATTGCTTGAAAACAGAAGCTGGGGCTAGGGGATATTAGGCAGAAGCATACCTGCACAATCTTCTTATCTGACATTCCTGCAACAAAGAGATTCTGTTTATCTTCATCGGGATTGAATTTGACACAGTAGGGAACCTTCCTRTTGGTGAATCTTGAAATACACTGCCCTGAAAGAGAGAAAGTCACGCAGAGCGGGTCAGCCCTGCCCTCTGTGAGCTGGGAAATTACTGCAGACACCACGTTCATTTCTGTTCAGCTCCCTTGGAGCAGAAAGTAATGGAAATAAAAGGCAGAAAACTTACAATGTGCTTAAATTGCCCATCTCCCAAGTGTTTGCATATGTATCTGTGCAGACACAAACTTGTCCATGCCATATATCCTTGCAAACCAACTGCTCCTTAGCCCACGTGCCTGCACGCAGCTTGAGCAGTGTCTTTATAAAGCACCGCCTCATTAGGACCAGAGCTCTCCCTGACAAGAGATAAACTCCTCACTGCTAAGCCTAGGCACGGGGAGCAATAACCCAGCTGCAAAACAAAATACTGACCTCCTCTCCTGGCCTCTGCCATAAATACCCTCATTACCTATTTTCCGTAACCTGTACAAGCTTCCAGAAGCCTCTTTTAGCCCAAAAGCTCAGCACATTTCACGGGTACCTAGATAACTGAGTCCTGACTCAAGGCTGGAGCATCTGACCTATGTATTTCTGTGCGTGGCACCACTGGTAACATCTTTTCCAAACGTGGGAGCTTCTTGTCTTCYTTCAAATGCACCTATCTTAACCAATACTGACAACATTTACCCTGAATCGTTTTTTCTTTTATTTTTCATTATTAAAAAATAATCGGAAGACAATGTTCTTAGGTAGCTCTGTGAAAACACCAACTCTATCTGCTGCTCCCTCTACCAGCAGTTCAATTTCCACATCTCTTCTTTTTCAGAGCGCTCTTCAAAGTTCACGCTGACTGAAAGATCATGGAAATAACAGGCTAAAGGCTTTGGCCACTATTTTATTTTCCCTGGAGAATTTGAGCTCCTTATGGTAATGAGAAGTCTTCTGTGACTGTTTCTATGTTGTGAAAGAAAAACTTCCACATTCATCCATTTGCCAAGATAAAGACTGAATCTATTTAATTAGAAATCCCCTAGTTCCTTGTCTGCTGCTCTGCTCTTGGAGGAGAGGACAGAACAGATGCACAACAACTATGAGTAAACTTTGCTTAATGCATTCCTGGTAGTTGTGTAAAGGTGATAAAGCCAGGAAACGTTTAGATGAAGAACATTATAAAGCCATTTAGCACAGAATGAGCACACTGCTGCTGCTAAGTGCTATGTATGCACTAATAGGAGTGTCTGTAAGGCTGCAGGAAGCAAAAACTTATTACAGTATTGGCTATTTTGAAAAGACTCTTCTTGGACCTGAGCAGACATTTCTTCCCATGGAAGAAAATTTAAGTGAAGAAAAAATTTTGGGCAAATCTCTAAACAGAGAACATACAGCTCAAAATTATGAGGCGAAGGGCTGCTTATTGACAATTCTAAAGGTAAAAAAATAATTTAATGTGGACTCTAATTTTATAGACATGGCAAATATACACCAAAAAAAAGGCCGAAGTGATCTCTACTTTTGAATTATTATAGCTGGTGTAACAGCAGCACTAAGGAAATGCATTTCAATCACCAATGGGTTATTTTAAAATGCTTTCAACAGTTCTGCTTGTGCACTTGACAGTCACTCAGCATCTAATAAACTTACACAAGTCCCCTGCAGGAAAGAGGTGTGCTTGAGCACCCCCCAAACCTGCTCCTTTTCCCTAACAATGCAACATTTTAAGGATTGTGTAATTTAATAACAGATTTATTAAGACTAATAATTATTCTTCCAGAGTATGCATAATTAGGTCAAAAGTCTGATTTAAGTGAAAACATGCCATTAAATAATTTCATAAAGTTTTACTTAGCACTCAAAATTGTTTTAGGCTTGCAAAAGCTAACAGAGACTTTTCAGATAAGCAGGAATACAAAGTACTGCTAACTGTGCAAACTACATCATAGGAGGCATCACTGATAGATATTTAGTAAAAAACCAAACTGCCACAGTATTCCTGTAATGAAAGCCTGAACACTGAATGACTAGAGGTTAAGGACACAACTCCACAGGCGGATAGCAGCTGTTGGTCCTCAGTTTTAATCGGTGCCAACAGGTTTTTAAACCCGTGCCCAGAGCCAAGCCTACCTGTTTCGGTGTCCCAGAGCTTCAGGTAGCGGTCGTAGGCTGCGCTGAGAAACCGCGTGCCAGCGTTATTAAAGGAGATGTCTCGAACGGCTTTACTGTGCCCTACAGGACAAAAAATCAGGATGATACCCATTTACGTGGAGAATTAAGGTTTCTGAAAAACATGATGTGAGTTAAGAGATAGACCAGAGCCCCTAGCAAATTTCTGGAGAACCAGAAAAATGTTTACAGAAATTTTTCATGAGTTTACAGAACTTTTTCCAGCAGCTCTACCCAGCAGGTAAATCAGCAACCCACCCCTTGAAGCATGGGGAGAGAAACAGCAGCGCTGCACAGAACCCAGTGCCTTGGGCACTAGTAGATACACAAGCAAAACTGAAGGTATTGTTGGATTTGAAGATGGCTCCTGCCACTATTAAAAGCAGCAACTGAAGTTTAAAACGCTGTACTACATGTTAACATCTGAGAGCAAGAAAAAAAGAGAAACAGACGTTGCAGGAGATTTCTAAGATGTGTTTAAAAATGAAACACTAGGTATGAAATATGGAAAATACTAAAGAGTTCTTTCAGCTTTGTCACCCTAAACCCCAAATTCTTGAGCTTTTATACTAAAAAAGTGGAAGGACATTCTGAGAAAAACAGAAGTCTACTGAGAGAGGGTCTTTTTAAGTCATCCTTTTTGCCATACTGTTGTCATTAGAAATATTAGGTAAAAAGACTTTGTTGTTTACTCAACGTAGAGTCTCTTGAATACTGTTCTAGATATACTGCCATTTGAAAAGGAGAATCAGATGCTTTTGCTCTGCAGTGACAGCTCCTAAGTTCATATTCATGTTTCCCACCCATCTGCAAAAGGCATCTGTTATATGAACAAAGAATGTACCTAAACCTAAACATACCCCTTTGCACTAGAAACTCAGCTAGCCCAGAGAAGACCACCTAGCTGAACAGTGAGATCAACAGACCATGAGCTGCCCTCACTGCACAAATGTTGTTATCTCCAACAGGAGATGAGGTCATTGAATTTCACATGTGACTTCTTAAGGACCTGGGAAAAGGAAAGGAGCYTTGTATAAAGCAATGACTAATACAGCACACTAACATTTTAAGGGTCTTAAAGTGCTATTATACCACCATTAAGTTACTTGGAATAATGACAAAGGTTCCCTAAAACCGTGAAGCTTCTTTGATTCTCATACTGGATAAAATTTGTAGGATGCCCACCTCAGATTTGCCTCAAATGCCTCTGTATGATAAAAAAACATAAACTAATCTAATTCATATTCATCCATGACATTGCTTTAAATCTAAATTGTTTAAATATAAGTTGYTTAAATATAAATTAACAGCTCAGCTATTAAAAAAAATTATTACCAATGAATGTTCGTAGACACCTTCGATCGCCATATACCTCCCATAGCTAGGAAGAAAAGAAAAAATGATGGGAAAGAAGAGGCAGTAATTATTAAATAACGATGCTGAAATTAAGTGCAAACATATACGACAACATCACTTAAACAGTCATTAACTACAACGAAGGTGCATATTCACATGAGCGCTCTGTCACTTTATCAATAAAAAGCCCTATAAAAATAAAAAGATCAGGCCAAATTTCAACTCTGAGGCTCATAAGGGATTTATTTTGCTTGTTTACCCTTCACAGTTGTTTTTTAAATAAATATAAAATTAACATGTTCTATATAAATACATATATATATATATATTCATAACACAATCTTATTTTAATTCAACGTACATTACTTCATAAAAGCAATCTACATCTACTGAAGCATTTCTGAACTGTAAAGCCAGGTTTTATAACAAATGAATTACTACGCTAGCAAAGGCAATAACCTCAGAGACTTGTGACCTTCCAAGTGCTATTACTAAATGATTAATGTTGTTCTAACACCCACAGTCTTGGACATTATTTCTGTCCTTGTTCCAAAAAGCTTGCAATCTAAAGATAAGAAAATCAAGTGAGAAAATAAATCCCAACACAAACAGAAAGCTACGTGGTGGAAGTACTAAATACTTAAATGTTTTAACTGCAACATCTGTATTAAATCATATTAAAAATGTACATAAAATTACAAAAACAACTCACCTTAATTTTGCAGTCCATAGAGCAAGACAGCATTATGTGCCCAGAGAGAGGAAACAATCTAACTGCACTGACACCCTGCAGATAAGAATATAATTAAACAGTGAGAGGAACAGCCAGATCTTTGATTTTCCTCCTTTCACCTCTTCCTTTATTCTTTTAAATAAAGAAATCCTACAGCTTATCTTCACAAAATGCATAGATAGCATATCTGAAAAACAAACAATTCACCCACATTCTGTTTTAAAATCAGTGATGCATTTGAACTGATTCCCCCCAACAGCTCTAATATACCCTCCTTCATTACCCACACCATTACTGTGGTAACCACACCAAGAAATAAAATTGTGGGTTAGGGTGACACTTTGACCAAATGCCAACATTACAGAAATCTCTCTCTTTCTAAATAAATCTATTCTTTCTAAATAACTTGTGGTTTGTTTTTCAAATATAAATTCTAATGTTGCAGCGGTGCTACAGGGCATCTAAATAGTCCTAGGGGTCACATCCAATTCAGACTTCCCCAGTGCCAGAAACTTTGCAGATTCTGAATCAAAAAATATGACAGCATATCTCTTTTTAGTCAGAAGAGTTGCAATATTCCTGAAATCAATGAGTGCATTATCCTTGCAGTTAAAAGAGAAACAAAAAATGAAACTAATCCAAAACAAATGTTTTAAATGGTGGAGGACCCTGTTTCTGTCAGATTGTTTTAGGACTGGTCTTCCTTTTCTTCTTAAACTATTCCTACCTGACCCAAGAAACTCCTTCAACGACATCTATGCCAGAAGTTTCTGCATATCAAACTTTTTCAGATGGGCTAGGTCAGAAAGTCTTCCTATAGATAAATATTTCTAGACAGCTTCACTTCCTACCTATATTAGTAGTAAGTTACAGATGCTGAACTCGGACTTTCCGTCTATATTTCAGGTACTCTTGGAGGAGGAAGTCCAGACAGCTACCAAGATTCACGGTCCTCATTCCCTATTATGCCAATTACTCTATTCAGACTCCTCCAGTTCCTCCCACACTGGTTGGAGTTGAGTACTTTTCCCACCCCGCTGTTGCCTCCTTACATTCCTCCAGCTTTTCTTGGCTTGTCAGCTTGTCTTCCTTTTGCTTTTCCCAGGCGTATTTTTATTTATCTTGCTTGTTTGAAGGAAGAAGGTATTTTTTGTATCAATCTGTTCTAATGGGTTGATAAGCACGGAACTGACTAGAGCATTGTGAAGGGAGCTGTTATTCTRGAAAGCTACGAGTTCTTTGATGCAGCAATCTCTAAAGAAGTGTTTRGAGTTGAAACTCAGCTAATATCATGTAAGTGCTCCCTGTATTATCCACCTTGGGCAGCCAACTTTTGGTTGCCATCATGGAGCTGTTTGTAGAAGACCACCATATTCTCTGTAGCAATATCGAAATTTAGAGACAAAGGAACAGCAAYTCAAGTACAGGACTTCACCAGCCTGATTAGTGAAACACTTCTCTAATACCAAAAATACATATATAGTTATAAGCTCTGTCACAAGCAGCTATCATAAACAGTAAGTAATATCATCACCGAGAACATATAACAAGGCAGACCTCTGAAGKTGACAGCTATATTTGGAGAATTGTAAAATATACTGCTCTATTATAATCACAAAGCCTATAAAATTTTTTCACAAGTCTGATATAAATTAAAGCCCTTAGATGCTTTTATGACACCAATGTGATTTTCAGAGAATTCTAGAMTTATGCTTATTCATGCAGTAGTTTAGAAAAGAACTCCAAACCCCATAGAAGTYAATGGAGAGTATTCATTCCATACTTAAAGGATGTCAAAAAGTCAGTATGTTCATGCAAAAGTATATACAGTTAAAGAAACAAGATTGCAACTGAGTATACAAATACCTTGTACAGGCATACACACAACCAACTATATGTGTAATGTTGGAATAAGAAGGTATCTCTTCCCTCTACYGATACTTCAGTCTTACCAAAGTTACTATCCTCAGAGAGAAATGTTTTTATGATGGATACTCACAGACAAGCCTTCCTACCTTTGTATGTCCAGACCACACGTGGATTTGTTTCTTCGGAAGATAGCATTTCTCCGGTGGCACGGTAGAACGGAGATTAACTCCGACGTCTTGAGGGACATGAAGATAAGATCTCCCCTGATAGTCATACATTTCCTTGACTAAAAAGGTAAAGATAAAATTGTAAGAATCCAAGAGACTGCATTTCATGGGGTCATAAGAAGTCTGAACTGCCCAAYGCAATTAAGATTTTTCTCAGTGCTCTGCTCTGATGTGCAACAAAACGAAAAGAAACTCACTTAGGAGGATGCAAATGTGGATTTTTTTTCTTGGTATCAGCTGGGCTCAAATTAAGTGTCATTTCAGCATATTCCTCCCCCTTGGTCTTACTCATCATGCAACAGCTAGGAAAGTTCCTTGGGCCAATGAGGTTTTGCTTACAAGGACACTGTGACTTTATAGGGATCACAACACGTGCAGCTCTAACTCCGGTGTTTGATTAAAGTTTATCCAGTAAGTGCTTTTACTGTGAAATTTCAGACAAGAACCAGGAAAATAGTGATACAAAATAAACAGACCGAAATTACTGAGGACCTGAGGAAAGTTACTGAGATCAAGAAAACTCAATGGGCAAAATTTCAACCTGTGTTCATCGCCGTTCAATAAATGCTGTCACAGCCTGCTATATATTAAGTGAATCAAGTACCAATGTCACCAATGCATATCTCACATTCCTATTTAATGTCTTTAAGAAAGGATACTCCAGCTTGTTTGTGTGAACCTGGCTGTAGGAAAGCAGTTAACCAAGAGAGAAGGTCTTCCTATTTGTCCCATCCAACACAAGGCAGAAATGTTTTGCATGCAGAGCTCTAAGTTCCCCTCGATGAATTGATTTTACTTATTTAAATAAGATCCAAGAAATGTTTTTCCTTAAGGGGACCACATGGTATAGGCCTCCATCAGGTTATTATTTCACTATGCTATTTTTCATGGTATGACAGCAAGAAGTTAAATTAAGCATGGAAGAAACAAAGTCTAATCAATTTTCTGAATTATATACATTTTTATATATATGTATATATAAGTACATGTGTGTGTGTGTATATAAATATATATATAAAGTACTACTATTAATTCTGGAGCTGAAACTAGGCTGAAGTTATAATCTAAAAAGCTTTAGTTCTGCAAAATGGCAAAGGATTATTTGAGCATGTCCAGTGACAKTAAAAATAAATAAATGAAACCAGTACTTCTAAAGATGACATTCCCACAGTGCTCTTCACAGTATAAAGTGGAATTAGTCCAATTATCTCTTCCCATATCCTTTGTGCTTATGGCTGTGAATGCTGCATTATCTCCAATACAGAAGCATGGAGGTGCCTCAGCAAAACCCCTGAGGGGTTTTGCCATCCTTACTAATTAACACAGCAGGCAAGGAAAGAGAGAGCAAGAAGGTGAGCAGAGGCAGGAAGATGGTGTTACCGTGTAATATAGTCTTCTCCTCCCCAGGTTTATCATCCTCTAGCTTTCCTCTCTTCTGCCTCTTAGCTGTTATTTCATCCAACTCTTTCTGTTCTTCCTGGAAAAGCAAAAGATGAGCTTGGCTTTTAAAAATCACGTAATAAAATCYAGAACCCAAACAACATTTACTTACTATTAAGAATATGTTTACTTATTTGCTAAATAGGATTAGAAATATTTCTGTTTAGGAAGAAAAACAAATCAATGCAGAGAAGTATTTTTATCAAAACCAGAACAGTTTGAAGAGCTACATACACCAAAAATAATAAAAAAAAAAAACAGTCATAGTCTTCTTATTCATTGACTACAGCAAAACACGACTGRCTGCAAAAAGAGGACATGTGTTGCTTGGAGGCTTTTTTAACAATAATTTAAAATAATAATAAAAAGCTTTATTTGCATTTCACTTCAAGGTATATCTGTTCACAAGCAACTTATGGGAACCTACAAGCTATACATTCACAGAATCCATGCAGTTTTGAAGCAGGCTTGCAAACGACTGAACAGAAAATATTGGTAACRCTCTACTCAAACATATCTCTTGAAATGGTTCTACTACCCTAAAGCACAGCCAAGACCTGATAGAGAGAAGCTAGTTACACAGCTGGACCCTCTACCACTACCACATAATATATCATTGCACTGCAATGTATTGTCTATTGCATTAAAGCAGCACTTACTTCTGAGGGTTTTGCCACTTCTTTTTCATCAACGTATTTTGCCCATGGTCCCAAGAAGCCATCAATGTTAGACGCATCATTCTCTTTGAATTTCTTCCTTTTTTCTATTTTCCTCTGTCCTGTCTCAAACACTGTTAAACCTGAGGAAAGAAAAAACAATGTATTGCCTAGCTGCCAACGCAGATCACAACGGAGCAGGGCACAGCATATTTAGCATAAAGCAAAAGCAACCACCACTATTCCCCTCCAAGACACACACACCAAAATGAAAAAAGCCATCTAGASACCAGAGTGTTGCTCGTTTGTCTAATTATAACGCTGCCAGCTAACTACAGCAACAAAAGGGACCACTTAAACTCTGCGTCATGACTTGCCAGAGTATTTACCCATGCACGTGCCCATACATTTTTAACAGAAAGGCTGCAGAGTGTATGAATAAATCAGATTTCATTCACTAAATGGTGCTAAATAAAATATTGGCCCATTCAGCTGACTTCTGATCCCTCCCCTGGTCCAAATTTCAAAACAACAAAAAAACCACAGCACCAACAGACAAACAAACAAGCAACAGTAAAATATGCACCCAAACAACACCTCAAACAACATTCAATGACAACTTTCATGGATTTTAATTTAGTGAGAAATCACAGTCATTTGCATCCAAACATTCTCTTGTTATTTCATATAATGCTACCTTACTACAAAGTCTGCTCTCAGAATTTCATTTGTCAAAAAATATTACAGAAAAAAGATAGATGAGGAAAAAATCAACAAGTTAAGGCATGGTAAAGCACTGACTGTATGTACAATTCAGTGCAATGTTCAAACACTGCTTTCCTATAGCATCAGAAATACTTGATTAGTAGAAAGGAGCCAAAAAGAGTTCCAATAATTATACAGAAGGCTGGTAAATTATGAAGTCAACATTTTCTAAAAATAAATTAATAAAATCCTAATATCAAGTCTACATTCATAATTTAAATAATTTAACTGCAGTCATTTTTTTCTAATGTAGTTGCTCTAGGAAAAGAAGTCTACTTTACTTAGGAAAGAAAAAAGTAAAATAACCTTGTACGTGTTCATTGTTGAAGAACGCAGAAAAAAAACCTTTATATACATCTGCTACAAAAAAAACCCAGTATGTGCTATGGAAAGCATAACTAGCTGTAAAGCTTGCACAGGCACAACTTTGCAAAGTAAAAAAGCCACCTTGAGTGTTAAGTATCTTCTATCAAAGTATTAATTACAGAAGCCAGTGCCTCTGGCAGCGAAGCCTCCCAGCAGCAGCTGATGCCCTGCCCGCTTGGCAGCCTTCCCGCGGTCCTGCCTTTCCAAGGAGTCCCGCTCTGCCCCGGAGCAGGAACGTGCAACCCCCCCGCCAAGGGGTGCCAATTGAAATTGAAACAATTGAAACATATTTTTATTTCTTGTCTCTTCAGAAGCGCACAACTGCCAGAAGTTTCAGTATTTCCTTCCCTTGCTAACACCTGCTCAGTTTCGAAATGAAGAAGTAAGGGAAATAGCAGCCAGTTGCAAATCACATATATGAGGCTGGATTACTTACCTTGATTTTTTTCAGCCTCTTCGACAGAGCCAATATATTTGGTAGCAACTTCAGGGTTATCGATAGAGGGATCTAATGCATAGCCTAGAACAAAAGGAGAAATAAAAYACTCTTAATTTCACTTAAAAAGAAACAAGAAACCAAGAATCCACAAAAGCCTTTTCTATGTATTTTACTACCCTCTCCTCTGCACTTCATGATTTTTTTCCCTGTTGGCTCCCAAGAAGCTAGGGATGAGGAAGGGGAAAATCCATCTCCTCGTCACAGGATCCCACAACCCTGCAGGTGGGCAGGGGACCTCGGGAGGCCTCCTGCCCAACACCCTGCTCGAAGGGGGCTCAACACAGCCTGCTGTAAAGCAAACACTACCTTTTGAAGCGTTGTGAGCAACCTACTCTCGTCCTAGCAYGGCCTAAGGAAAAGCCTCGCTCGGGATGGTAGATGAGTGTGTGACAGGCCCCGTTTYAGCCTGGTTGGGTCCCGCCTTGCCAAGCCAGTAAGTCGGCATAAACCAGACCGTTGTGACTGCCCTGGCTTCAGCAGCAGCCTCCGGCCCTGCAGACCCCTGCCCAGTCCCACCACCTCCTCCAGGCCAGGACGGAGAGGGGAAAAGCAGCAAAAAGCAGCAAAAAGCAGCAAAAAGCAGCAAAAGGGGCTGCCTAGAGCTCCGCTCACTTTCTGCCTCCGCTGCAGAAACTACACTGCTCCCGACAAGGCTGCCAAAGCCTCTTCCCTCAGCTTGAAAGCAGCTGCTCTGTTAGTTAAACTCACCAAGAAGGTACCCGAGGAAGCTGCAATAGCCTTTRATTTTTCAAAGAATTAAGCAGTTGTGCTGTCATTTCCTGATTACTGCTATTGAGTCTTGTTAAAAAAAAGTGCTGAGTAATCTTATAAATAATTTATAAAACRTTTCATAGATACTCGTGATATTTGCGATATTTGCTACAGAGGTTCTTATTTTAATATTCATGGCTCACAGACACTCTCCCTTCCTGCTGAAGGGCTCAGCAGCATCTCACAAGAATTTCACCAAGTTGCCACACAGCAGGCGCACGGAGCAGCTCCTGACCACCACGGCTTTATTTTAGCCAAGAGTGCACCCTGGTGGACACAACAATTTTTATTAAATAACATTCAAATGACAAAATACCCTTCAAGGCYCAGGGAGAACTTCTCCATACCAGGGAGAACTTCTCCGTACCAAAACAAAACAGATCCAAAGACGGCCTGACGCCAGTCCAAGTAATCACACACACGGTCAAATAAACCCAGCCACCTACAACCCAACATCTGCACTTGAGTTGATTCCCAGAGGGAATCATGAACCTTAGGAGATTCCCCACCTTGCCTGGGACACCACTGCCCCATTAAAGTCAAGATCCCAGACGCCAGAGACCATCATTTTCCCAAACATTTCTCGGAAAAGGCTGCTTTCCTGGTAGGTGGTCCACTTCATTTATAGTTAACTAGATACTGGGGAAAAAGAAATACGGAAACTACCAGAAAAGCCATGGCAAGAGCAAGGCCATGGGAACATTTACATTCCCATAGGAAGGATCACTTCACCTGCAGCGACTCTGATCAAGAGCCAAAATCTTTGCTTGGACCATTAATCCAAGTGAGACCCATTCGCAGTAAAACATCCAGCCACGAATATAAGGACAGAATACATAACAATACCTTATATAAGAAATACAAATTTCTTATATAAGAAATACAAGCATATTTAAACCAAAGAACAACAACAAAACTTATTCTAGATGAAGATTTACTTCCATAGATAACCAAACAGACAGACATTGCAATTAGGCTTTCACTAATTTAACTGCCTGCTTTTATTAAGCCAGAATTTCAGCGAGCTCTTTTTTTCCCCAAACTACAAGCTTTCCATTAACGACAGAGAGATATTACTTTGGATTGATGTCAAGATCAATACAGTGGTTCATTTGTCCTCCAACTGTATTGACACAGTCTCTAGGACTCTATTTGCTTGGTTCCTGCACAAGGGGGACAGTATTCCCATGAATAGGGCCCCTGGGCCAAGCACAGCTTCCCGTGGAAGCCGAGACTTCTCATAGCGGGGTTGAATTTGCTCCAGCATCGTTCTCATAGGAAGCCTCGGAACAATTTCTACTTTCTGGTGGTATGTGAAAGCCAAGCTTTTCTTCTCTGGCTGAGGCTCCTAAACGCAGCTGCAAAAGACAGCTTGCTTTTATCCTGCTCAGCTGGGATGCCACGCAGCGCGCCCCGACTCCTACGGCTCCTTCGGTTCCATTTAGCAGGCAGAGATTTCACGCCACGGCTTAGCGATGAAAGGTACAATTCCACCTACGTGCACAGCCTCAATGCATCTGAAAAGGGTTTAGTTAAATCATCAGGACTTTGATGCACATTTCCGAACGACAGCTAATTAAAACAGGTTTACAGCGAACGGTGCAACGCAGCGTAGGGGGACTCGAGGCAGCTCAAGGCCTGGGAAACGATTTAGCTGCAGTAGCTGAGGCTGCCTGAGCTGGCCTCTCCAGAGAACTAAAGCAATCTCAAAATAAAATGTCTATAACCACGAGGAGCAATAGTCACTGTAGCTGTTACACGTAACATGAGTAGGTGGCGGAAAAAAAAATATCAGAAGTGTAATTTCTAACTCAGCAGTGTCATGTTAAGCCCTGAAATATCAGCTTCAGAGATGAACAAATCTTGTTAGAGCCAGGTTTCTGAATATTCATAAGGAGCTCTGAGATTCATGGATGGAAAACTGTTTACTATTTAATAAGACATTAATATCTTCTGAAGGAGAGGGTTTAAAATACTAAATGGTGCATGAATGAACCATCTGCAGAGCAGTAGTCCACTTCTAGCATAAGTATTAAGGCTGAAATAGATATAAAATGATTTCTCTACCATATTCATGAGCAGTTTGYGTGCAGCATGTCAAAAACAATCCCCAATTCCCTTTGCACTGGAAGTCTGTACACGTTATTTCGCAGAGCTCCTGCTCTTGTTCAGAGCAGAGCTCAGAAAGGCTTTTCCAATCCAAGGGGCTGCTCCTGCTGAGAATGATGGGGAAGAATGAATGCAAAAAGACCAGGTTTCCTGGTCTTTTAGGTCATGCTCCAAGGACTATAAATTTAACAACAAAACATATTCCTGATAAGGATGCTGAAGTCTGGCTCATCTTGGGCAGAGTCACAGTGACTTAATTAAGGCTAAGGTATTTTTGAATTTGTAAAAAAGAAAATACATTCTGGAAGGGCAGCTTGTTCTCAAGAGTCTGTCTGCTGCAAACAGGAGTTCAGATCTTTAACCAGAGTCTTGAAAAGCTCTGCAGTGCTCGTGTCAACTTCCAACATAAAGGCCGCCTTGGCAAAACGAGGAGCAACTTGCAATGATACTCCCTCCTAAGAATGCCTCGTCCTCAAGCTAAAGATAGCAGAGAAATTGAAAACTCAGATTACAGTGAGAACAACAAGCAGAGCCCCTTTAAACTGAGGTCTGAGAAACACAAMCCCCAGAAGTGCATATGAAAATGGTAAAGGTTAAAAATACTACACAGGGACATCTGAATATCAAGCTTTAAATTAAGAAACCATCATTTGTAGGGAACATTGACATAATTGGAAATAAGAAGACCTGCAGCAGGTAGAAAGCATATGGAAGTGAATGGTGAAACCAATGGAGAAAAATATGCTACAGAAAGCTTACAGAAAAATCAGAGTAGCAGGTTAATAGTGTTGGCAAGAATTACAGAATCCTCTGGAYTGAAATCCCAAATTTAAGCAGAGGAAAGTAAAGTTACGAGTTCTCTGTTACTCCTGCTCAGCCAGAAGGAAAGCAAAAACCATGGAATGGTAAAGGAGATGAGGCAGGTGCTAAGGAAAGGAGCATAGTAGCCACGTTTTAGTTAGAGATTCACAAGAAAAGAAATAATTGAACACTAAGGGAAACCTGATTTAAGATATTTCTGTTCAGGTCMCACATTAACAGTGGCTATAAGGTAGTATGAATCAACATGTTTGTTGACTGATATACACAGCCTGTGTAGGGGAGCAGACTAGATGATCCCCAAAAGTCCCTTCCAACCTTAATCCCTGTGTGATTCTGTGTGACTGAAGAAGTAAAGATAGTCAAAAACATCCACTACAGTCCTCATAGCATCAATACAGAAGGGCTCCATAAAATGATGAAGATTTTTTTAAAAAGTGGAAAGTAAGTAGCAAAGAGCAAAGCCTTTTTCCGAACGCAGAGACACTTGAAATAAAGACACTATGTTGGAGAAAAGGAGCTACTGCCTGCCAGAATCAGTATCAAAAGAGCACTTTAAAGAGACMACAAGGAAGGGAGCACAGCTGAACAGCATGTAAAGAGACACTACTGGAAATAAGGAAGTATTCTTCCCAGAGCTGAAGTTGCATCCAAGTATGGAAAATACCAAGAATCAAACTCGGGCAGGCTGAATCTGTAATAAAGCAGTCCAAAAAAAAGGAGCAAATCACAAAAATCACATAACGTGCAGAGAGTAACACATTAACCTTTGGTCAGAAACCTCAGCAGCAAAAACGATAAGGCCAATAAATGATCAAGGAATGAGAAGAGTCCTCAGAGACACTGACGTGGGATTTTTTTTTAACATGCTCATCACCGAGGAGCCTGCGGAGGCTCCCATGCTAGAGCCTTTCTTCAGCGGTAACGCGACCAAGTATCTGTCTCACAGTGACATGCTAGGACGCTAAACGAAGAGACAGATGAAYGGCAGCAAATCATCAGGACCAGATGGTATTCACCCAGGAGAACTAAAGCCGAACCACAGTGCAKAAACTCTTGCCTCATATCCCCTCAGTCGGGCACAAAGGGAACGTACCAAACGTGCTGCCAACTTTTAAGAGAAGCTTCAGAGGAGATCGGGGCACCTGCAGGTCAACCCGCTCAGCATTCGCACAGGTAATGCAGTAGAAAACATTAAAAAACTCAGAGGCTATTATATATATACTGCAGCAGAACAGCCTATACAGCTTTCTCTACAGAAAACTTAAAATGACAAAAAAAAAATCCAGAATATTTGTGAGCCAAGAATCACACTGAGGATGGAAACCCACATGATGATGCCGAGTACCTCCAAGACAAAAAGAAGAACTTAAGATGCCCAGTTTAACACACAGGTCTCCATGCGGTTAGTTTATAAAAGCATCATAAAACAATGTTTGGTTTCAATAGAGAAGGAAATTCTTTGGTGGATCCAAGCTTAGGCCCATGCAGTGCAGCATGACTAAAAGATGTGGAAAAGAGGAGCACGTAGCTGATATCGAGTTATTCAAGGTGCTAAAGAAAAATGTATCTAGGCTTATGAATCCCCAGGAACTTAATTCCTGACCTCCCCCTTTATCAAGCCACAAAAGAGGTTCGTGTTGAACACTGTGCACAGCTGGGCTCTTCCTCTTGAGGACGTGAGAGCAGAACTTGCACAGACRAGCACATCCCGAGGCCTGGAAAGGTTTTAATAAAGAAACAAGAAAACTGACCAAGAGCTTTACAGGCGGGGAAAAAAAGACTTCAGAAATGAACCTATGGCTGAGACCTATACAATAAAAATAGCCCAGAAAGGGTGAGTACGAAATGATTTCTTGCTGTTCTTCCAACACAATAGGTTTGGGAATTTAAAGTGAAATTAGAAGGCTGCAAGTTCAATAMATTTAAAGCAGAGGTATTTCTTCACACAGGGTGCTGGCAAGCTGCAGAAAATGTATGGGGTTCAAGAAGCAACTAGAAAATTTGTCAAGGAAAAAATAGATTCAATGGAAGTTAATAAATACAGAGTGATTGCCTTTGGCGAAGAGGCTGCCTACTGGAGCAACCCTGTGAGCTATCACTGTGTGTGCCACTTTGGTGCATGGCCTTGGGCACGGCTGCCCACTTGCCCAGGCCTTGGTCAGCTCCAGAACGATGTTCCGAGCTCTCCAAGCATCAGACAGGCAGAGACTTCCGACAGAAAACACAGACTGCAWCAGAAACAGATGAAAGACTCTGCACCACAAAAATGGCTGGGTTGTGTTTGTGATTAATACACAGATTTCTAATCAAAAATGAACTAATTTTTAAGATGACATGTAAAACTTTTTTCTTTCTTTTGAAACATTTCTTCCTTTTGAAACATTTGAAGGTGCAGAGGCTCTGCAGCAGTTGAGCTATTTTGGTTATACAGTCCCTGTTATCAATATTCCTTTCTTGCATCACACTTGATTTTCACTTATARTTTTTGCTTCTCAAAATGCTACGTGTTGCAGATTTGTTTGAGAGCTCCTACCRTAGCATAATGCGGCTAAACTGCCTACGTGTTGCCAAAGGCCTCAAGATCTGTTGTTTTCAATTTAGAGATGGACTTTCTGTTCTTCCAATATGCTAAAAGGTAATTAGTCATTACCAAAAAAAAATAGGAGGTAAGGAAGCATTAGATTCATGCCCAGCAATTACATTTGTACTTTTATAGTTGCTGGTCTTTTCCAGGAAGGTTTTTATCACCTCCTTCCAAAGTGCAAAACAGAATATTGAATTTAACAGACAAGTTTTTGACAACTTAAACAAATGCTGTTTTTAACAGCTCACAACAGGCTTTCCAGCAAGCCAASATATCATGCTCATCTAGTGCATTATCTAGCATGAATTTCAGCTTCTCCAAGCTCAGTTTTGCAGTTCAAACTGGCTMGTACAGCCTTATCATAGCTCCACTCTCACGGTACCCAGATCATTATCTGCTGAACATTTCCAGAAAGCTGAATGTGATAATAGCAGTCACCAGTATTCTCAGTCTTGAAACTCCATTTTCATACTTGCTTGTCATACCTTATTTAAGGCAGCTGTGGCACATCGATGATAGAAACCAGCAGCAGAAAGTTTGAGTAGGCTTTGGGTAGTAGTTCTGTCTTCCCTCAAAATAAGTTTTGCAAACAAAAACAAAGACTATGTGCCTGCAGACTCATCTTTCCAATATAAATCTAATGTCCTCAGAGGAAAAACAAGCAAGCAAAAAACCTGTGTACCACATACAGTTCAATATGTAGTTTCACTGAACAAAATGAACCCATCTTCAGATCCTGAGCATGCTCAGAGACCTTCATTGTCTGTCAAGTTCCAATATTAAAATCGCAGAAAAATAAGTTAGTTATAAAACTAAACATCCATTTTCAAACTCTGCATTTTGCTACTGATATTCCATGGCCTGGCAGCTCAGTAAGAAGCACTCATTAGCTAAAACTATGCAAAAGAAAACCCCATCTTAAACTCTCTTCAAAATGTAGTATTTACAACAAAACCCGTAATCAAAGCCAAAGAGAAACTGAGGTGTTAAAGTCTCAGATTTTAGGCACTTTTTCTGCCAAGTTTCATTGTAACAGCTGCCTCCCACACGTCAGTTCTGAAGATGTTGGTACTAATGCCCCAACCTTCTCCACTGCAGAAAACATCAAGTGAATTCATGCATGTATACAGCCCTAGTGCAATTCATGCARTTGTGTATGGGGAGGTGAGTTGGAGGCATGACAGTGTGAGGGAGTGGTCTTTTCAGTGTAAATACAGATAAAGAAAAGAAAGCTCAAAGTCTGCTGTGCAGAGGTAATTTAATTTCACACAGGTAGTATCAGAATTTACAAAGCAGACTGAATTTGAAGATAATAAAAGGTATGAGAAYGTGAGCAAGAAAGCATGCACAATGCAGTTGAGAGCACGAGAGCAAGACTTAGAGTGAAACCCATGAGAAAAAAATTAACCAGTTACGTGTCAATATATGGTGATTTTATTCTTTCAAATACATCCTCAAAAATTCTTAGAAACTATGGTCTTTCCGCATTTTCCTCATACGAAAACCCATTTTTCTTAGAAGATGCATGTTTCTTAGAATCCATATTGTTTGTTCATCAAACTCAAGTGTTTCATTTTTCAAATGAACCTACTTATAAGTGAAGTTTATTCAAGATTAAAAAAGAAGCTACCCTAATAACTAGCCCTATGGAAACACACTGCTAGAGAAAGAAAAAGCTCTACCAAACATTTAACGCTTCTCACAAGGCTTCTGCTGAGGTTGCATCCTTCAGTGACTTTGCAAATCCAGTATTTTCAGCAGAGGTATTCCACTTCCTGTGATTCCCATTCATTCAGTACCTAAATTAATTCATTCTGCATCATGTATCTAAAGARGGAACTTCTGTGAAGAACCTCACACTCAGAAAGGCACTTTCTTTCTTTCAGCTTTCCAAGTTACCTTAAGAATCAATTTGCACAATAGACCTATAGTTATTGCRTGTAAGATTGATTATTTTTTTGTCTTCTACACTGACACAACTAAAAGAAGCCTTAATTAAAAATGATCTGGTAGGAGCTCATCTCTTTGATTAGCTTCAGAAGGAATTACCAAATGAGACTTCTAAAATAAATACTATGAACCACAGGTGTGCAGAWTCTCAAAGGCTTTTGCCCATTTTAACAACCCTGCTAAAGAGCCACTTAGAGAGCTTGAAGTCCCATTAACTATTCTATAAAGAACACCTTATTTTGTCAAACCTGGGCATAATAAAAACAGAGGGGAATTTCAGTGTTAAGAACTTACCATAGGTTACGAATGTTCTTCTTTGTTGTTCAAACATGAAATCATTKATGTGAGCTGGCTCTGCATATCCGGAAAGCATATTTCTAGGTGCAGCCATTTGCTGAGTCTTAAATGGGTTTTCTGGTCCAAACTACAGAAATAATGTTAAAAGAAAGTATATCAGATTTACTAGTTTTATATCTATACATATGGACATTATTTTACTAGAGAGAGACAAAATGGTGTTCAGAAAAGATAACACAAAGTATATTTCTTTTTCTGTATGACTAYGGAATAAATTTCTTAAGTCTGTTATTGCTTTGAACAGCTGGTTTCATGTTTGAACTTTCAAGCCCTAAATTACTGGTAGAGAGGACAAATCAATAGCAATTACTTGACACAAAAGATTCCTGTTCAGTATGGGATCAATACAAGCACATTCAGAAGACAAGACAACAGTGTATTATTCCTTGTAAGCAGGAGAGGGAAAAATCAAGTCCTAYAAAAAAAATCTCATAGCCCATACAGGAATTTCACAGCCAACATGTTTTGTGCATGTAAAAAGCTCTTAGGAGTCTTACTGCATTACTGCAGAAAAAGCAGTTATGAAACCCTGCCTTGCCTTTCTTCTTGCAAGAGGGCAAGTGACCAAAGTCTTCCTGACCTTACCATGGATAAAGGACAGAAGGTACCTGAACAGTGAGTGCAAACAAAGCCAATATGCYGAGATGAATATTAAAAAGTCAATATGTTGAGATTAATATAAAAATAAATTTAATCACAGTAACTGTGCTTGTCAGTCAAGTTCAGACACCTCACTGTCCCATATTAGGTACCCCTAACCAAAACATTTATAACAGGAATGCTAAGTTTACTCATCATATCCTAAGTCCGTAATCAACRTTTTGCTCATACATCYAGAGGGACCTGGACAGACTGGAGGACTGGGCGGCGAGAAACCTCATGAGGTTCAACAGGGGCAAGTGCAGGGTCCTGCACTTGGGGAGGAATAACCCTGGACACCAGTACAGATTAGGGGTGGACCTGCTGGAGAGCAGYCCCGCAGAGAGGGACCTGGGTGTCATGGTGGACGACAAGTTGACCATGAGGCAGCAGTGTGCCCTGGTGGCCAAGAAGGCCAACGGGATCCTGGGGTGCATTAAGAARAGCGTCTCCAGCAGGTCGAGGGARGTGATCATCCCCCTCTACTCAGCCCTGGTGAGGCCACATCTGGAGACTGTGTCSAGTTCKGGGCTCCCCAGTACAGGAGGGATGTGGAGCTGCTGGAGAGAGTCCAGCGCAGGGCTACCAGGATGATCAGGGGCCTGGAACATCTGCCCTATGAGCAAAGGCTGAGRGAGCTGGGYCTGTTCAGCCTGGAGAAGAGGAGGCTGAGGGGGGACCYGATCAGYGTGTATAAATACCTCAAGGGAGGCAGTGAGGAGGAGGGGGGCGGCCTCTTTTCAGTGGTGGGCAGGGATAGGACTAGAGGAAATGGCTTCAAACTGAAGCATCGGAAGTTCCACAGGAACTTAAGGAAGCATTTCTTCACTGTGAGGGTGACAAAGCACTGGAACAGGCTGCCCAGAGAGGTTGTTGAGTCTCCTTCTTTGGAGATCTTTAAAACCCGCTTGGATGCAGCCCTGTGCCACGTGCTCTAGGTGACCCTGCGTGAGCAGGGGGGTTGGACTCGATGATCTCTGAGGTCCCTTCCAACCTTCGGCATTCTATGATCTCATGGGTTTCAGTGTTCGCTCTCTCCAAAGTTGCAGAAAGCTAAGTTTGCTTTGAAAAGGCCWGTTCATGTGGTCTATGAATCTGCTTTAAGAACCAAAAGGTGGTTCTTAAGGCACAATCAATGCAAGAATTTCATAATGATACAGGGTCACCCTAGACAGCATGAACAATTTATGGAACTAACCAGCCTTTGTCCATCTGAAACACTAACCTCTGATCTAACATGAGATAAAGAAGTCAAATACTGAGGAAAGTTAAATGCTTTAACAGCTATTTTCATTCCTACAGCTAGCCTGACAAATTAAAACAKAAAGTGGTTCACACTGCACCAGAATGACCAATCTCAGTGCAAATGGTCTTGCACTACGTACATTTAGAATGACATCGTTTGCTAAAACTCTTACATATCATTGACATGAATAGAATTCTATTGATAGTACTTGGATTTTAAATTCTCATTCTGTAAGCCATATATCTACAACCATCTTACAACCATTCATTTTGATCCAAGTAGCATGCTGAGTACGCAGCAAAAGATGTGAAAATAGTAGCAGACGATTTTCATACAGTTAATCTGTTTTAGTGAATACTTTTATGCTATCTTCCAAGCTTGATTTTTAGTTTGTTTAGTTCTAATTTTGACAAACAAGTCAAGATGCTTCTGTCAGAACCACTTTATACAGAATATTAAAATTGGAGCACGTAAGAGTACTGCCAGCACACCCCTAGGTTATCTTTTCTCAGTTCACCCAAGCTATGATCACAAATAAAGCAAACATTCAAAAGAAGATGCATCTTATTTGAATTTGACATTAGATTAATGGATTCTCTTCCTTTTAAGCCAAATACATTTCTGGTCCTCTATCTTACCTCAGGAGCAAACATGGTATCATAAGTGGGATTGTACTGAACTTCCTTGATAGCAGGATCAAGGTGGACTCCTGTCTCCACATCTTCCTAAAAACAAAACAGGCATGTTAACAAAAAGAATTTTACGTATCCTTTTAAATACTAACACCACTTCAGACCATTTTTTTTTCTCCTTTAAATTGTTATTTTTAGGGCTGAAAAGGAGAATAGTAACTTGGAAAAAAAATACTCCTAATAATAATTTGAACATTTATTTTAAAACTAGTTTTAATTTGCCTATGGAATACTGCACATATTTTTTATTTAAGTAAAGATTCACGCACACACTTGAAAAATTACAGCAAGATTACAGGCAAGCTTTTATTGGAGGATATTTTAAAACCTATCTTTTAAACAAGAATCAGTTAAAATGGTCACCAATTTAATATCCAAATACGAAAGCCAGATTCCTATAAGAAGTAGGAGGCAGAAGCTAAAATAACTGGTTTGGAGGATATTTGGAAAAAAATAGAGTTTTTAAAAAGCAAGTATATGTATATGACACACTGAGGTTCACAGAGTCCTAAAAACCCTTATCTCCAAGTCTTTACTAAAAGGTATAATATAATTCAGTTTCATTTTCTAAACTCGTTTTCAAGTCTATCACAACAAAAATTTAACTTGATAGTTGAAGGAACAAGAGGGACTAACCAAGAGTAGCTCCTAAAGCGACTCAGTGAGAGTCACACAGAGCAAAGAGCTCCCGTAGATGGAGCCTAAACTGAAATTACATTTTTATTTTAAGGGCTCAGCTACACAAAGGAGGATGTTATTTTGCTGAATTACCCTGGTGTTTCTTCCTATACTTTTATTCCAGAATAGGTGCCTTTTCAAAGGGGATTTATAGCGTGCCTATATATTGATGCAATTTCAAATAATTAGACTGAAATTGTCATCTAGCACCAAAGAGTTTAATGCTTACAGACAATGAGAAATTTCCAAATGCAACTGCAGCTCACAGAAGAAAGTGTCACAGCAGAAGCAGCAGACACATCTTTAATTAAAAATTACCTCAGACTGAATTGCATTTTGTATTGTAGCACCTTGAAAGAGCAAAATGATAAGCTGTATACTTATTTAACATTGTTGGCTATTCTCTGGCATTTAAGCCCAGGAGCAACTTTCTACTAAATCAACAGCAGTTCAATTATAAACAAATTTGTGTAGGCATGCAAGGCTTAAAAGGTTTTAAAACCTGATTTTCTAGAATGCAGGAAGAAACAAAAACATCAGTACCTCTGGCTTATTAACCAACTATGCTCAGCTGAAACTGCCTCCCAAAAAGGTTTTTTTTATCTCTCTCCTGCAAAAGACATTATCTATCCTATGTATTTTCAGCACACTGAGCAGAACCGTAAGTTCCCCAGAAAAAGCTTTATCCTCACGGCGTAACAATTATCCCAAGAGGCAGGTCCCAACACCGCCGCTGGAGCCCCTGCCGCTCCAGCCCCAAGTCTGACCTTGTTTCCCTCGCTGCACGACCCTTCCAAGCCACCAGGCTGGGATGACAACGGCTCCGGCACGGCCCCAGCTTCCCTAGGCTGTGGATTCACTTGGGAACAACAGCACAACAGGCCTGAGCCAGCCGATTAGCAACACAAACAGACCCTCTCTCTGCCTTGGCTAGAACAGAGGCTGTATCCAAACTGTTTCCCAACACGCACCACCTAACGCCTGTATTTTCTCTCACAGCTCAGTGATCCAGGGGTATTTTCCACGGACAACTTTTTCCAGTTGTATCACACTGGCTGCTCTTCCGACTAAGCTGCACATCTTATCAGCCTTGTCACTTTGAAAAGTAAAAGAGAGTGTCAATGACGATATGGCAACATTTMTCTGATCTATTGCCAGTGAAATTTAAACAGCCATCAGATTACTTGAAATTAAGAGATAGGGCTTTTTTTTTTTTTTTCCTCCCCTCCTTTGAAAAGAGCAGATAACGTAATTTCGCAAAAACGCCAAGAATTTTGCAGTTCTCCTCTTTCCTCCTTGTTAAGTCCCATTATTTGGGCAGCGAACAGGGACCAGTCGGATCCAGGCGCATCAAGCCCGTCTCTTTGCTCTGCCATCCCCTAACAAGCTGCATGCAGCCCAACTCCCGTGATAAACGTTGGTTTGAACACCATTATGAGACTGGCACTACCAGAAGCATTAGAGGCATATGCCATTAAGACCGTACTGTAGGCCTGGCACAGGCAGGCTGGGTTGCTGCAATGCACAGCACAAACACACTTTGGGGCATGTTGCTCTATTAGGGGGGACACTTGAAGACATAAACCCCACATAACAAGAAGAAAGGTTTCAGAAGGCAATGCTTTACGGAATACCTTCTTGAAAGATCTAATAAACTGCTCTGTGACTTTCAGTGGTACCTGTCTTCTCTCTGCTTTCCTTGGCATTGCTAAGAGCTCAGCTGAAATATAATGGCCATCCTGGCACCACATACCAGGTAAGACGTAAGCCAGTGAAAAGGATGAAGAAGAGGAAAACCAAGAGGAATCAAAGGTCCAAAACCAGGACCTATGGAGAAAAACAGGAGCACCTAATTCAGCCCAGATGAGCATAACTTGATTAACCAGGCAGATACCTATTCACTCTTCAGAGAAAAGAGCAGCCTTAAGATTCCCCAATGTCTAAGGGAGAATAAGAACAAGATAAACACAGAGGATGCTTCTCCCTCTGCACTTTCCCAACCTCCAACTATTTTCAGTTCAGAGGACTTCCTGAGCCTGAAGAAATGTGTATTTACTGAAATCCCTTCCCTCCAATGGATCTTTTCCAAATATTTGTCCAGACTCTTAAAACAACGTCAGCTTCTTGCCTATACAGCTCTCCTTGGCACAGGAATGCCTGTTTCATGGAGAACCTCATCCTTCTGTTTTGAATCCAGCCCCTAAAGACTTAGCCCACATTTCTTTGGGTTACAAGAGGCAGGGACTATTCAACCCCCCCTCTTTCTCTGCCACATAGTGATTTTGTGGCTCTCCATCACACTTTCCATGCCAGTCATCTCTCTTCCATTTGGACCTGCTCAGCAGTTCCTCAAGCAGACCTGGTACCTCTGATCAACCCTGCTGTCCTGCTCTGAACCTTCTGCAGTCATAACGCATCCCTTTTAGGATGAGGGGACCTTCTTCCTCCGCTGTCTGCCTTAAGATGCTGACACTTTTCCAGCAGTTGAGTGACAACTCATTAGCAGAATTTTCAATTACATTTACAACGTATTTAGAGACAAAAATTTATCTGATTTTTGCAAAATAACAAYCTACATCTTGGAATAGCATCTGAAGGCTCTATATGATGAGTACATTTAACACCAAAAAACAAATGCTGTGTGTGTGAGCATGGTAGTAATTAAGCTTTGCTAATAAGCATTAAGAACCTATTCCTCTTACCTATTCCTCCTGAAGTATCCCCAAGCTTCAAGTAAGCAAACTGAAACTGTTAACTAACCAAAAACAGGCAAAATAATTACAATCATAAGGCAAAGTATGAACTACTCAAGAGTTACAATCTTAACAGCCTAAAGGCCACAAATAAGCATGTGGCTGCTACTCGTGCTGTATGAGTAACCCTCTCCACCTGCTCTCTTATCTCCATCCTTTCTTTTACAGGAGGGCACCTCCTCCTCTCCTACCTCCATTCTTGGTCCCTCGTGTAATATATGTCCATGTGTTYAGGTGTACTCCATCCTTACTCATGTCAAAATGACAGTTTCACTAGTGGAATGTGATACTAATGAACTGTAGCTCTGCTTTCCCCCTCACTCAGCTTGCTGTTTTTCCAATGCAGCACTGACAGAATTCCTGCCGTGTACCCTTACAACCTTATTTCTTTTACGTTCCTCCAGTTAGGGCTAAATTCTAATTCAGARGAAATAGGAACATTCCTAAGGGCACGAGCAGCAAGTTTCCATGTATTTTTGGTGGGCCACTCACAGTTTCAGATGTGGAAGGCACTGAGATCATGCTGCCCATCAGCTTTGCTCCCCTGAGAAACCAGGTTTCTCCTCAAAGCTGACTGTGCTGCTAGACGAAGCTCCAGTACTCTGTGTACTCAACAAGTCTTAGCTAAACATCATTGATTTCTTCAGTAATTTGCATCTCAGCTCTGACTCCAGGTGAAAATGAAAGCCAGGATGACAATGAAACATTTCAGTTAGCAGCACACCAGCCACAGACACCATCCTAGAGGTCTGGTGGACACCTCCGCCCAGGGCACAGCTCAGAGAGCAGCTCTGAASGGGATGTAAACATTTATCAGGTACATCACGGACCAGGTGGAGGATCTGACCAGAGGAGAACCACTGAAGAGATTTTTGTTTTCATCCACATCAGTTTCCAGATGACAATCACCAAATAACTGCATGAGCATGTGTAGAGCGAAGGAAAGAGGAGACTTGTTGCAGCAGCCTTAGAAAGGCAAAGAGCACCCAGAACACTTATTATGTATGTTAAAAAAAAAAAAATAATACAGACTTTAGTTCAGAATCTTTTTGGAGTTTACCCAAGAGAGCCTGCCAGAGGCCGCCAGCCAGGAAGCTACACACTTCTGGACTTCGAGTGGGAATAAAACACACACTTAAGGAGTGCATCAGCATGCACAGGCAAACACAGCCAGCTGCGACAATACATATGTATTTGCCAGGGACAATAAAGCACTGGATCCACCTATTGGACATGAAGCAAGGAACGTTTCRGGACCATAACATGCGGCCTGACACTGCACTGATACTCCCTGCTGCAAACCAGGGAGTAACCAAACCAGAACCGGACCTCTCCCTACTTCTCAGAGCCCCCAAACGAGCCCGCGCAGCCGGTGCCGGGCCGGGCTCGCGGCAACTCCCGCCAGCAACAACGGGGCGCCGCGGGGCCGCTACCGCGTCCGCGAACCGCCCGGGCCGGGCCGCACGGTGCCCCCCCCGCCCTTCCCCGGCCCC